CTCTTCGTGTCTTTCTCCTTCTCCTCTCAAAATCGAGAAAGGCTTGCAGCTGCGAGAGGTTTGGGTTTGTCGTTTGTGTTCATTCTTTGTGTTATCTAATCTCTACTTCTATTTGTCTTCGATGTAGTCCCTTTGTCATCGGCGAGTCGGCGTTGGCTCAACTGCTCGGTATTCTTGCTTGGTTGCTGCTTGTTTGGCTACCGAGGTGTTTTGTTTGAGTATCTTTTCTCTAATATTTCATATTTATCTTCAGGTTTGCCTCTTAGTTTAAATTTTCTTAAACGAGGGTAACTCTCTTCAGGTTCGAGAAAGCAAGTCGCGGCCGGAGCGAGCAGCAGAAGGGTACAGCTGCGAGTAGCGTGCGCAGGAGAAGGAAGATTCTGAAACGCGGGCAACTCTCTCTCTCTCTCTCTCGTCCCCCTAATCCAGAATTTAATTTGAAGTGGAGGAGAAACGTGATTTAAGATTCTACAGGGTTCTACGCTAAATCCGGGTCATTTCCTGGTTAAATCCTGCTACCAAACACTCCTTGCGATGGCTAATAAGCATCAGAAACGTGGCCAAAAGGAGGAGAAGAAAAAGTATAATCTTTCATCAAAAGATCCTGAAGAAGGGATACTTGGAGAAGGCTTCGCTGTGAAGGAGGTGGAAGATGAAAGCGACATCCAAGACAATCATTCTGATTCCGATGTATCGTCTGACGGGGACCCATTCACCGACGACTTCCTCCGAGATAGCGATAAAGGTATAAAATTAATCCAGCACTCTCTCCAAGCAAGTGGTTTAATGTTATTTTTGAAACATTTGCAGAGAAGTCAGATGAGTCCGGGTTGGAATCAGATGAGTCGGATCTGGAAGAGAAGTCCAGAGCGATAGATGAGGCAAAGGCGAGAGCTTTGGTGGAAGCAGAGGAGGAGTTGAAGTTAAATATAAAGGAGGAGTACGACGAATTTAGATTGCCCACCAAAGAGGTCACCTATAGAAATTTGCTTACTTTTTGGTGTCTTGCAGCTTCTG